CATCCGAACTGGCAGGAGTTCAGAAGTAATCATACCCGACCTGACGGAAGCCTGGAAGTGAGTGCGCGAGGTGGTTATAAAAGGCCCCTACCCCCCAGGAACGAGGTATGTTAACTTTGCGCTATCTGGTTTATCTTGCCTTTGAAGGATTTTAACTTGAGCTTCAGAGCCCTTACGCCGGGTTCTCCCCGGAGCTTCTCCTCTCCTTCCGTTTCAGGTCCCTATCACTCAGTTCAGAGGCAAGACCATTGACAGCTAAGACCGGCCAGATTGTGCATCATCAGTCGCCACTACTACAAAATCGCCTGTCACTGTTGCTCCTTGTCGTTGCTGATTACAAAAAGAAATCCATCGTAGATGAAGCTCACCGCTGTCGCCGGTTGTCATGATTTACCGCCAGTTATCGTCGGTTGTGATTGTCACAGGTCGTCGGTCGTGGTTGCCGTAGGTCGTTTGAGATGAAGGAAGGGTTAGAAGTCATAACGAAAATGAACTTTTGTTCTAACGCTAGCTTGTAAGACTTGGGAATTGGGGGACATGAGTGTCCTTTTTTTGTTTTTTTAATTTTTTAATCCAACGAAAATAAATTTCATAACTCGTGAACCGCTATGCGGTTCGACCATCTGGGTCAGCAGTTTTTTGACTTTTTCAACGGTTATTTAGACATTAACGGTTTACAGTATAACCAGACTTGGGGGCTGAATTGATTTTTCCGGTCCGGTTTTGAAAACCATGTATATTTATAATATTACTTGGTGCTTGTTTGGCATCATAGCATTTCACAAGGGTTTTGTTTCACTAATGGCCCCCATTTATAAGTAATTTGTTTCACATGTACTTTTTTTAAAAACACAAAAAAAAGGATGCATTTAAAGTAATTTAGTTTAATATTATAATATATTTATAATGACAATTGTGTGATATCTCAAAAAGTAACCATTACAGAAACGGTTTTTTGAGAAACACCCTTGCCAAAATGTGCTTTTCTTGCCATTTTTTTTGTGTTTCTAGTGGAATTGGTTGTTTGCACTTCCCACGGCATTCCTTATTTTCCAATAAATGGATCCTTGTGCAATGCCTCAATGCCAAACAACCTCTTAATTGCCCATTTAAGATAGAACTAGTGGGGACTTGTGCGATGCACAGGAAAATTTGAAAGATTTAATAATTTTATTTACTATTAATTAATATTAAATTAACAATTATATAGGAATAACAACGGGGTGAGTTCAGGGCGGGGCATCCCATCCCTGTCCTTGCCCCATAGTCAAAACACTTTACCCCATCCCTACCCCGTCCCCATTAGCAGGCGGGTTTAGGGCAAAGCAACCACTCATCAATGCTAGGCGAATTCAAGGGCAAGGCACCCCACTCCTCATCAAGGATGAGGAACCCTTGAATTTCCTCGCCCCATCCCCAGTATTGGGTGGGCTCAAGTATAGGTATAAATTGGGTCGTGCTGGGCTAACACAACATGGAGCGTCCTGGACCGTGCCGAACCGACCCTGGGATAATTTGGGGGTCGGTTCGGCACGGCCCACGGCCCGAGCCTGCACGGGCCCATGTTGTGCCGTGGGTCGGGCTGGTCCATGGCCTTAAGCTAGGCCAAGCCGCGGACCAGTCCAAACTATGAGAGATCCATTTAAAAAAATTGAAAAAGATGTTTCAATTTTTATTTATACAATTAGACCTTTTCATGGGACGGCTAGCCCGACAACCCAACTTGACACATTATTTTTTAGGCTTTGACAAAATTTTAGGCTCATGGGCTTGAGCTCGGGCTTTCTCAAATAAGCATGGCTCAATACTATTACATATATAAAAAAATACTTATGTTATATATATATATATATATGTATGTATATGCTTCTTAAATTATTAATAAATATCAATTTACTATTAGGAAATATAAATTATTTTATTAGTTTATTAAATTATTACTAAATTAATATAATATTATTTTATAAAAGTATACCAACAAATAACATTTTGTGTACAGATCGGGCTTCGGGCTCGGGCTTGCACATTTTATGTTGATAAAGAGGCTTGTGTTAATTATAAAACTATGATTTTTTAGAAATTAAGATTTTTATTTAATTATTGTCTAATATAAAAATATATATAATATTTCTATATATATTTAATTATAGTCTAATAATATTTACCATATATGCATTTAACTTCCAATTTGAGCTTATTAGGGGTTGTTTAGCTTGGGCCTTACCCGCTAAAGTCATTATTGGACTCCAAAAGTTTGATACCCAATTAGACTTCGGATCTGATTATCCCTAATAACGTGTGGGCATTGTGCATATCTCAACTAGACCTAACTCAAAAGAAAATAATTGCCTTAAATTATAATTACTGTTAATTATAGTTTAGAAATAACTATTGTTAATTATATTACTATTAATAATTAAAATATATTATTTTTCACTATTATTTAGTATTTTTTTGCAATAAAATACAATTAGTTTAAATTTTTAATTATTTTTGTATTTTAATTAAGCTTTAGGTTTTTCAGAATTTTTGTATTTTGATTAATTTTGGTGTTTTTTCATTATTATTCAGTAATTTTTGCATATGAGTATTTTTCAATAATTTTCAATATTTTCAGCATTTATTTTTGAATATTAGTCACTAGAAAATTAATTTTCATTTGCTTTAATTTCAGTAAAAATAAATTAAATAACTGAATAAATACCATAATTAATAAAAAATACAGCTAATTTTGAGAAAAAGGGTGGGGGTATAAAATAAACACTAAAGAAGTGGGAAAAATTGTAGGTCAAGATATATTTCTTTGATCATTTAGAAATGGTACACCCATCTTTAACACTTGTGACACATGCAAAATAAATGGGGAAATTGGTAGGTTAATGAGATGTTTAATCCTTGATCTGTTGATCACATGGAATTCAATCAATAAACCATAGTTGAAAAAAAATAATCATTTATTCTAAAAAGCAAATAGAATTAAAACTAGAGATATTGGATAAAAGAAAACTAGACAACTGAGTAAAGGTGAGTAAAGGATGTGGTGTTATAAGCATCTTCATGCTTTTGGTATCTTTCATTATACTTCATTTTTAAAGAGATGGAATCTTTATATTTAGAAGGAAACTTTCTTTTTAGATATGGAGAAAATTACTAAAATATTCTCACAATGTAGGGAGAAAAATGCACTTTAAATATATTCGTCTATCAAAATCCTTAAAAACTCAAGTTCATTCATGAAATTGCAGTAGCCATTTAGGCTCAAAGTTCATCATGATCCAAACATCCAACAAAAAACTATCAACTCACATTTCAAATGAATGCCTCTCTTCATCTTAAAATGTAGAAATTATCCACTCATTTCTCCA